CATGAACACACGCACATTCATTCTCTCTCTCTCTCTCTCTCTCTCTCTCTCTCTCTCTCTCACACACACACACACACACACACACACACACACACACACACACACACACACACACACTACTTTTTCTGTTTGGACAAGTGCTTAGGAATCTAAGTCATTGCCATATTCTTCTTAAACCCTTGTACTCCGAGTGGAGCAAAGGTCATCTACGAGTCTCCTCCATTTCACTCTGTCTTGAGACCAAACTTCTAGCTGACTCCAGGAGTACCCCAGGTTTTTCCGGAAAAGCAGCTGCTTTTCCGGAAAAACTTGCCAGCTGTCTACACTGGCCGCTTGAATTTCTGCAAAAGCACTGACGATCTCAAGTAAGATTGTCAGTGCTTTTGCGGAAATACTATGCTGCTCCCGTTCAGGCAAAAGTCTTTTTCCGAAAAACTTTTGCACAAAAGGGCCAGTGTAGACAGCAGAGATTCGTTTTCCGCAAAAAAGCCCCGATCGCGAAAATGGCGATCGGGGTTTTTTGCGAAAAAACGCATCTAGATTGGCCACGGACGCTTTTCCACAAAAAGTGCTTTTGCGGAAAAGCGTCCTGCCAATCTAGATGCACTTTTCCGAAAATGCTTTTAACGGAAAACTTTTCCCGGATGTATTCAAAGTGGGAGAGCATCTCTGGAAAACTGTTGTCATCCGCTTTGTCCAGAGCTCCTATAATTTTGTATAAATCTGACTGCACAACTGTATGGCTGATACTGCCTCTATTGCAATGTAAATTGTAAATGTGAATTTCCACGTCACCAACAGGAGACTTCCCTTCCCCAACCATCCTTTTCTTCCTCTTTTCAGCTTTGTGGAGAATTGACTTTGTTTAATTCTGAGATCCTACGTGGGAGAGCATGATTCTAACCAGACTTTTGTAACTTTTGCTGTCTTGTTCCAAGAGAGTTGGATACTTACAAAGTTCCATGGCTAGTTGGATACCCACTCAACAATACAGGGGTGTTAGGAAGGGGAAGTTTATATATTTAAAATAAAAAGTGTCTTAATGGTTTCAAAAGCCCCAGCTGAAAACTGTATGGGAAAATTGGTGGGGTGGCTGTAGGCAAGGAGGTTCACAAGTTAAACCCTGTTTTTGCATGTCTGTGTTGTGCTGAGTGCCATTGTAGCTACGTTTGCTTTGACCCGTGGACAAGCACTTGTTGCTTTGTTGGCTTTCTCCATTCATCCCGTTCACCTGTCTAATCACCCTGCTGTCTACTACTAAAAGTGACTAGGACCACCTGATGGATTAAGTCTCTCAGTTGTGAACAGCAATCGCAGCACCAGTGCACTCAGGCTGCATTGGTTGTCTGTACAGGTGTATGGATTCTTTGTGCTGAGATCTCTGAATAGGGCCTCTACAGAGGCTGAATCCTGCTGTACTAGATACTGTCCAAACACGCCCAGCAGTGTGACACTCCATTCCTTATCTTACACCATTAAGTGATTGTAGAATGTCACTGTTCCAATCTGGTAGTACTGGACACCCACTTTGCATAAAAATACCTGGTTATGGGAGGTGTAGGCAGTGGAGAATCAACCATATATTAGTGAGATAATTATGGTATCACTCAACAGCCAGGGAAAGGGTGTATGCCTCAATTTCAGGGTGCTCCAAGAGAGAACAAAAGCCCATTGTTAATGTGGGTGTCTCCCACACTGCACCCAAATGCACCCACCTGGGGTACAGCATGTGATCAGGTGATGCAAATGCCAAGAAGGGTGTGCCCATGAAATCTTTGTACCTCTTTCTGCACCTTTGAGTCTCTTCAAAGTTGCATTTCCACATCAAAAGCTGTGAATGGGACACATCCAGCCCATTTAACTAGCTTCATTAACAGGGATCCTACAAATGACAGGTAAATGCTGACCTCTCTAGAAGTGGGGGTAAAATGTTAAAAAAGGATCTCTAAGACCATTTGCAGAAACCAGTCAGGTGCTCTTTTTTGTAAAGAAATATTCTACAAAAGCTTTCTGGAAGAACCTACCTTCAGAGAGTCGGATTGGACGTGGTCACTCACATTTTCAGGCGTGCCTTCTGATTTGAGAAGTCAGGGTATGTCTACACTACAAAGTTAATTCAAACTAACGGATGTTAGTTCGAATTAACTTTGATAGGCGCTACACTAGCGCTCCGCTAGTTCGAACTTAATTCGAACTAGCGGAGTGCTTAGTTCGAACTAGGTAAACCTCATTCTACGAGGACTAAGCCTAGTTTGAATTTACTAGTTCGAATTAAGGGGTGTGTAGCCACTTAATTCGAACTAGTGGGAGGCTAGTCCTCCCCAGCTTTCCCTGGTGGCTGGCCAACACCAGGAAAACTCGTATGCCCCCCTCCCGGCCCCGGCCCCCTTAAAGGGGCATTGGCTGGCTACAGTGCCCGTGCCAGGTGCAAGCCTGCCAGCACCCAGCCAGCAGACCCTGCACCTGGCATGGCTTTAGCCACCCACCCCATGCCCCCCCA